TAGCCTGTTAAGTACAAAATGTGTTACATGAGAGCCAAAGCATACTGGTTTTCAAGAGCATGACACAGGTTGTGAGTGACTTCCAAGCTCCCATGCAGCCATCAGTTTCAGTCCTTGCCAGTACAGTATGAAGATCTACTTACTTGAGACAAGTAATCCAACATAATGTACATTTACTCGATTACAATTTTGTTGCAGGTTACATTGTCTTTGTGTGATGTAGATGCAATGGGAGACTGTTTTGTTTTACATTTGAAAAGTTCCTTTGAAAGCTCTGACATGCTTTCAAATGTCATGTGCACTTTGGTATAAAATTTAAAAGCACCAATGAAAAGGGTTTTAAAAATAGTTTCTGCCTGCAATGGCATTACTATGACGTAAGGGATTAAAAAATAAATATAAATTCATGTTGTGTATGATATTCTCAAGCATGTTTCAAGTCTTTGGAAATTTATTTGAATGCTGTTCTGAAAGGAATAGAAAACCAGCCCATATGAGTAAGAAAATCTATGAAATTCAGGTAGCAAAACATTTGTAGTAAATGGGCTACAATATGCAACACCATTAGAGTATATAGAATACATGTAACCAGCAGAGCATCCTCATGTTGATAAAAGTACAATGATGTGTATGTATGTTCATCTTTGTGTTTGGAGGAGATGCACAATGTCACCAGTGTTTCTTTTTCAGAAAGTATGTGAGTTGCATTTTGTTATGTGCCTAGCACTGTACAATGCGAAAGGTGGCATAAAGCAGAACAACCCTAAACTGAGCCTCCTCCTATAATCCAGAATAACATGTAACAGCAATTACAGCACGTCACAGCATGGTATATTCAGTGGACATCTCGTCCTTTCCATCTCAGAGCTGTTCTGACAGATCATCCCTTGTGCCCACTCTATGGCTGACTGGTTTTGAGAAAAAAGAGAGATTGTGAAAGCGAGACAGAGAGATGGACAGAAAAGCCAAGACAGAGATGGAGTGACGTGTGCTTGTGTAGCTACATAAATGTACACATGCACCCACACACACACACTCACTTACACATTGTTGTATAAGCCATAGAAAAAACATACACAGAATCACAAACACCATTCGGACTGTTCAAACAAAGATATGAGGACTATGTTGTTTCACTTGCAGTTGAATACACACCATAACTAATGCTGTACATGTCTGGACATATTTGTGGATGGTAGGGACATGGCCATACCTTGTCGCAGCAATGATCGACCTGTACAAGCTCATGGCCCACAGATAAAGAGATCAGCAGCCGGAGACTGTCAGACAAAGTGTGAACCAAAAGGCCATCATAAAATCTACGTGTCCACTCCATTAACATGGGAATTAGGCACATCTAGCCACAATGTGAAGTCAACCTGAGAGATGCTGCCAGTGTGTGTGCCAGCAAAGCCACTTTCCTTCCATGTGTTTGTGAATGGTGGCTCTGTCTCAGTAAATGCTGTGCCTGATGCATCAGCCAGGCTGCCTAGAATGTGTTATTTTAGGTGCAAAAAAAATTCAAATTCACCAGAGAACTTCTGCGCTGTTCGTGCCAACGCTGACGCATCCCTGCCTCACTATTGTAGACTGAGACATGCTGGCATACTGAGCACTTTTGGCAGACGGTTGAAATCTGTACTTTGAAGTCGTTTGTCTTGAATTAAGTGATTTTCTGTCCGGCACTGTGCAGTGGTAAGACAGCTGATTCACATGCAAAAACCTTGGAGAGTGTAGGGATAGAGCATGTTTGGAGTACAGAATCCTCAAATGCCAATCACCTCCGGTTTCAGCTCTCCCTTTAACCCTGAACATAAATGGAAAATGAATGTGTGCTGTGGGAAATCATCTCCTTGAGGATCTGTTGATGATAATGATACATTATCAGGAGTAACAACATTTACCAGCATCTCCATTAGTTTAACACAAAACAGAGACGGACATGTTTTTCATTAACCAATAAAGAGCCTCTTCTGGAATGCACATCGTGACTCATGTTAGTTCTGGCCAAAAAAATCCAGACGTCTCACTTCTCAAAAACGATATGAAGATCAGTTATGAGAAGCTGTCAGAATGCAGGTTTAGACAATAGGCCTGCCCTCAAAGCTGTTGTAGCTATAAGCACTCGTCACCCTGGTGTGTTTCATCTCGACTGTTGGAACAGCAATAATCGATCTGATGGCAGTAAGAAAAACATGTTGTTTTTCTCTGCCCCTGAGGCACGCAGCAGAAACACACACACTCTAAACAGATGGTTTTTCACAAGACAGACTACATAAATACCAATATAACACAAGCAGTGAGCGATATATGGTGACCCCCATCAAGCATGTATTTGTGTGTTTTTTAAAGAGTATCTCTTAAGTTACTTTAGCCTAATATAAACTGCATAAAAATAACACAACAAAAGAGCAGGTTATTTTCAGTTAATGACAAAGTGGTGTGCAAGGCTAGCTCTAATGCAGTGGTTCATAAAGTGGGGTCTGGGGACCTCCGAGGGGATGCTGAGGGGGCTCCAGGGGGCCCCAAGCAAAATGAGGAACAGTTTAATTTCACTATTATTTCACTCCCTCGATAATAGCACAATGGGAGCATGTGCTACTGTAATATTCTCATTAGAGGTTTTACTCTCCCTACTGTTGTCAGACATCCAGTGCAGACAGTTATGCAGCTGTATGGCCAATTAAAGAGTAAAAAAGAAAGAAACTCTGGGACAAAAGATCATCAAATAAAAGTCTGTGGTCTAATGTGTTTCTATCTGGGGAATCTTGATATTAAAAGTTTGAGGAGCTCTTCCCTTTTTATATGAGGTGCTAAAGGTCTTGGGTGTTCATCTAGTGTGTAGCCAGCGGAGAATAACCTTGTGAACTACGGTTTGATCCATCACATCTAGATGTACTGACACACAGCAAATAATAATGCTCCAGCACAGTGCAATGCTCGGAGAGATAGCCTTGTGACCCGGGTACAACTCATAAACTGCAGTGCGGCATCAGCTGTATTAATAATCACATAGTCGTCCCCATGTTTCCTTACACAGATGAATATTTCATTCAGTGCGTGTTGTGCAAATTAAAGACGCGCTTCAAATGGCGCATCGTCTGTAATAACACATCTGCGGGGCAACGTGGTGCAATATGAATGTGTCATATTTAGACATCTGTTTAATAACCGTAAAAAAGTACCAGCACGGGATTCGTACACATTGTGAGAACGAAGCAGAATTCGCTTTATAGGCTGCATAATACTAATAAAATGTGCAAAAATGGGAAAATCGCGTTATAAATTTGGGGGTAAAGTTGAGACTTAGGCTACTCACCCCTTTTGAACATTTTGTAGGCCTAGGTGTATTTCGTCTTCTGTGCTCTGAGAATCATCTATTCTTATATTCCAGACTTAAAACTTGCGCTTTAGTTTTGAAGTTGATCCGAAAGCTTTCGTGGCTCGTCGTGTGAATGTCCGTTGTCACTCCTCGGGATTTTCTTGCCGTCCACTGTGTTGAGTTGCGCTGCAGAATGCCGTGGATTTCATAAACATTGACAACAGACAATAATCTCCTTTTCCACAAAGTCTGGCAGACCTCAGTCGGACCTGGGAAATTAGGCGGAAATCATTGCGGAACAGGCGCACTAAAATCATCCCCTCAGTCCCAAATAATGATAACTCCAGTGTGTGCCATGAGCACAAACGCACAGTAGTCCGATACAACCTCTGATAGCCAACTGCTTTTTAGTCGCAAATGACCGTACAGAGGCTGCAAACCAGTTCTGGGGGCAAGTCGACGGTGAACACAAGCAGCCCCCCCCCTTCACAAAAAAAAAAAAAAATACAGATTTTTAAATTCAAGTGGCCAATCTAAAATTCTTCTCTCGGTGTTTCAGAGCCGTTCAAATCGCATCATATTCGTTAAAATCTCTAATTAACATAAGTTATTTGAATTCACATTCCGCCTCTGATGTCGGATTATAAGCGCAGACTCCTCAAATCCTCCTTAATAATGTAGACTTTGATGCCTTCGGTTTCCTTAAAATCCCCCCCCCTTTTCAGCTCTCCTCTCCACTCGTAATTGTTACATTTGTGTGATCTTGTCTGTGAAGATCTCTCTGCTTTCCACCTATGGATCAGAGCTCGTTGATGCGCTCAAGGAGGGAGAAAGTATGTTGTACCGCCTCAGCTCCTCCACCGGGCAGCATCCTGCTCCATCCCTCTCAGTGTCTCTGTCCCTGTCTGCGCCAGCCTGAGACACACTGCTCCCTGACACCAGAGGTCTTTATAATGAATATGATATGACACAACGGGACAAAACTGACATGTAACAACAATATATTAACCAGCAAACATACATCGGGGGAGATGTGTCATGCTCCTCATTCTGCAGTATAAGACAGCTCTTAGGAGAAAACTCTGGTTTGCTGATCAAATAACCTCCTACCAGATCAATATGTCATAGATAATGGACTAATGCGTTAGATAAACTAAGTCTCTCTCTCTCTCTCTCTCTCTCTCTCTCTCTCTCTCTCTCTCTCCCTGACAAACACAGACACACATATTGCAATGCATTGCAAATAATTATGACACGACTATACTAGGCTATTACATTATTTATTCAACAAGATTTACAAGTTAGGTTCGTTTTAAAAAATACAATTTAATTTAACGGAGTTATATTTTATTTCAGATTTTCTTTGAATATATATTTTTATTTAATATTTTATCGTAATGTCATATTTATTCTATTTTGTTTCACATGTATGTAAAGCTCAGCTGCACAATGTTTTCTTTTATAAATGTTCTGTTTTCATTTTGTTTTACAAGACTTGTTTTTACTTATTTAGGCTGAGTGAACTAACTACTACTACTGACAATGGACACTGTAACCCACAGAGATATACCGTAACGACCTGTCCCAGTGTGGTCCACATGTCCTCCTGTCCCGTTAGGTGACATCGATTGTATCGGTGTTCGACTTTTCTCCACTCGCCTCTTCGCTCGATTGCTTTCGCCTTTCTGTGCCCTCACATGTGTGATGTTTGGGAGAATAAAACATGGCAGCGCCCTCGAGTGAAGTGCAGATTGTTCCTGCCAAGAAGCCCGCAGGTAAATATTAACACCCATTAAGAGATATTTAATACAACACACAGAGGAATATATTTATAAGCTGATAGGTAGCTGGCTTCCCCATCGATGAGACGCAGCTGTACTGACACAACAACACAGCTGTCCGGCTACGGTGCAAACAAGAAAATGGGGAAACGTCGTCTGGGTTGCAGTGCTGTTTGATAGCTATCCAGCTTTATTCAGTAGAATCAACTTAAATGATAAAACATTTAGTTTTTTTTGCCTTCTAGCTGGCATCAAATCCGCGTTAGAACATGAGATCGATGTGAAGTGTTTGTCGATCAGCTGACAGATCAGTTGTGTGTGTTTATAGGGTTTATGAAAGATTGTCTCATTGTTACCGAGAGGATTGTCAGTGTTGTCTTGTTAGTTTGGATTTATTACAACAGAAGATCACTGCGGAAATGACATATTACCTCCTGATAACCGACTGCATGATTTCACAAATACAGTTTACCATTGAACACAACATCTTAGATGATTGATTGGGTTTTATTTTATTTATTTGCAGTGTTTCTTTCTCTTATATTGGATGTATAGTTTGTTCATTGCCACTGAGGAAGAAACCGGCCTGAAGGAAGTGGTGAGAGCAGAGTTTTTATAGGATGAGTGTGATTTACTGACCATGCTAATGGTGTTTCCTTGCCAAAAGAAAAAGTTACATAATTTTTTCTTGGCAACCATACAGTGTTTCCAACACATGCACAAACTAACTTTCTATTAAAACATGATTTCACACGATTTCACCGTGTTGGCAAACTTATTGATACATCTGTGCTTTAATCTGTGATTCCACTCAATACTTTTGAAATGGATACAGACACATAATATACAAAGAAATTGTTTTAGGTGAGGCCATATTCTCTATATGGGAAACACTGATATAGAGCTACCATAATATGAGCTCACTGCAGAGGCTACAGGCTGGTTTATATCAAGTAAAATGATGCAGGGAATAGAGAGGTAAAAGATGATGATGATGATGCACATCTAAGAAGATCTAGTAGGAAAAGAAACTGAAAAGTTTGTTTCTAATTAAGTTTACTGCAAGTAAGGAGACAGGAGGCAGGATTTCTCCTCTAGACTTTGTTCAGTCATACAGAATAACGACAGATGGAGCAAGAGCAGCATTTTGATTGCCTATTTTTTTTTTTTTTTTTTTTGTATTTCATTTAGGTCTCAAGTTTTTTTTTAACTTGTTTTTAATTTATAAAATCAAATACATAATTTACTTGGACTGTGCCATGAATATAGCTCAAGTCAATTGAGCTTTTTCGCAGCTGTAATAGTGGGAAAGCACAACAGTGTCCTCATTGTGTGGTGGCAAAGATTTATACAGAAAGTAGTTCAGTGGCTACATGAATTATGACAACTGCAGTGCAAGACTGGTTAAATGAAATGTTCACATTTACATTTTTGAAAAAATAAATAATCTTACAGATGAAACACTTTAATTTTGAATGTCTTAGTTATTTATTAAAGTCAAAATAAAGTACTGATGCAGTCCTGGTGGTAGAAAATCAATGACGTGGGTGTAAACTGCTGAATGATGGCCTCTTTAACATGTGAGGATGTTTAGTCGGAAGGATGAGAAGACCATAGGGTATCTCAAGTTTTTTTAAATATGTTAGAGACACTGTTGTTTAGACCAGATAATTAAGACAAGTCTTCTTTGTGACCTTGTTTTCTTAAGCATGTCTTACCTATTGGAAGGGTTTTGTTTGTGACTGACCTTTTTATCCGTGAGTCACCAAAGAAGATTGTACATTGTGATTAAAGTAATTCTGCCTGTACTTGAGACCAAGCAGGGCGACATCAAGTTCAAACTCTGCCAGTAAAGTCTGAGCCAAACTTCTTTCAGCTTTTTTCTCCATTTCAGCCGGCATGTCAAGCTTTCCAGTAGCTTGTAGAAAAATTTAAAATAGAAGATGCTACAAGGACAAATTTGTCCAATTCAACCACTCTCATTCCTCTTAAAACCTGGCCTATTCCTGTTTGAGGTGGGAGACACATTTGGGCAATATTGAATGTGGAAAGCGACTTTCCTGAACTGCATTAGCCCCCTCCACACTCAGACTGTGACCAGCTTGCCTGTCGAATAGAGTTCAGTCCATTAGATCCGGCGTCCTTGCTTCAACCTGTGTTTATTGCATTGCTAACCGCTCCATCATTTGACTTTCTCTTCAGTCCGAGGACCACGGCGGGTAGCCAATCAAATTCCAGATGAAATCCTGCAAGACCCTGAGTTACAGGAGGCGATCAAAGCCCTGCCTGCAAATTACAACTTTGAGATCCACAAGACGGTTTGGCGAGTGAGACAAGCAAATTCTAAGAGAGGTGAGCTCTGTTCTTTCTTAAAACACCTGATTAATTAAGCACATGATTAGAAGCTATATTATTTTAACAGAGACAGTCATTGTATTTAAAATGCCAGATTAGAAAAAAACATAACATGCAGCTGTAGAATTGTTTTTCTTATCTAAACATCAGTTGTTTAATACAACATGGACATTTACTAAAAGTTGAGCCAACCATGTATTCCACAATGTCACATCATACATTAGTGCTAAGCTAGAGGCTTTTAAATTGCACAACTGACTTCTGAATTAAGTTATACTAACTGAACTCTAACAGGCTATATGAAGTTACTTGAAAGTAAAGGATCTGCAGTAAATACTTTTACACAGCCTGTGTCTTTATAATAGGAATATTTCCAATTTATAGTCAATTTAACTAGAAAGGATGGAGCACAAATTAGGCTTTTTGTTAAAGGATCCCTGTCCCAGAACTGACAACCATTACACTGTTCCCACTGTCTTTTTGAGTGAAAAATATTTATTCTATGTCCATTAATGTCACATGATACAAATAATGTTAGCTAAAAGTTTATGAAATGGTTCCACACTGAAATATGTATTCTTGCTCACATCTCATTGCCAACTGCCTTACACGTTTAGAGAAGATCAGCAGTACAGAGTGAATGTATGGGAATCGTGTACTGAAGGACAGCATGTGCAAGCATTCATTCAGAATGCCATCCATGAGTGTATCTGTGCTTTGACCTACTTTGTGGACTTCACATTGTACAATCAGTAACCTGTGAAAAGCAGAGTTTTCAAAAGGCCATGTAGGTCAGCCCACAGTGACTATGCCATTAAAATCACTGAACACGTATTTAAAAATACACACCAAAAGCAGAAGCTGTTAAGAAATCTGTGTTTGGGATGAGATGTGCCTCTGTGTGGTAATGTAATTCAGAGAAAAAAGCCCTTTTGTGTGTTCACTCTCATTGGTCAGCATGGACACCAAAGTGAAGCAGGATGCTTTTCACAAGCACCTCCATGTCCAGTGTGTTTTGGAGTTGGTTAAGACTGAATTTGTCAGGGGCATGTTAGCCTTCTTTGATCTTTGGAGGTAGGGGGGGCAGTTCTTTCAGGAATTGTGCTTATGTGTTATTGACAGAGTTGAAAGGCTACGCTCACACTGCAGTTGAAAGTGCTCCAGCTCAGATCTCTTCTCACTATCCATGCAATACAGATGTTTCCCATTTATGTATTTTTTTAAATTCATATTGAAAGCAGAACTTTGCCTCCATAAACAAAAAAACATTTCTAATCCGGTAACAAAGTTAAAGGAGGAAAAATACTATTTATCTAATGTGGGCTAGAATTTCAGTTCCCTCTCTGACATACTGTCCAGACATCATATATTTTGTTTTCATATCTTTTGTCCATTGGTTTTATTTCAGGATGGAGGTAATTTAAACTGATACGAGATATGGGTCACTCAAAAGTACAACAGTAAAACAGAACAATCAGATCTGAACTAAAAATCTGATTTGAGTAGCAAGGCCTTTGGGATTTTAGCACCATGGGACACCTTCGCTGACATCGGTTTTGGTTGATGGCAACAGGCAAATCATCGTTATGTTGCTCTAGAACTGCCTTTAGTAACATTTGATGATATTACATTGTTTCACTAGCTCTTTTGCCGTTATTAGGTGATAGTAAAAACAGAACAGAAAAATAAATTGGAAATACCACCAAGAAGCTTTGAAAGGGTGCAGTCAGTCCCCTTTCAATTTTGCAATATTAAGGCACAGCTATAGTTCTAAATTACAAAGTCTGTAGGGAAACAAAGAAGCAAAGTAATGAGAATCACTGTTGATGATGGCTACAATACCTCACGTTCACTCTAACACATAATTTGCAGTGTTTTAATTGAGGCTCCCACTGACAGTCAGTCCAGGACTAATATTATAAAAATACACTCAGGAGTAATCAGATGGTGTGAGTCCTTGTGCTGACAGTTATGTATTGTGAACCTCATCAAGAGAAATGTGCCTCATTTCAAGGTGGATTATTATGACAAGCCACACTTCCATGCATTGCTGCTTTTCATTGTTTTTTGCGATGTCGATGTCACCTATAGTGTTTGGTATTCACATTGGGTGTGTGTCTTAATTTGTCTTTTTATATGGCGTACCCAGATAGAGTAAAATAGCATTTGTTTGTCCATTCTGGCTCCACCCGCAGCATCTGTAGATATAAACGATTCAATCTAAGGTAACAAAAAGCACAACAATTCCTATATTCAGAGAGTATAAACTAATGAAAACATACCCATGAATATTATATTACATTTATGATAATAGAGCCTCCTAAATTTTACACACTGGACCTTTTTAACAATCCAGCAAAGCACATGTTAACTAAGCACAGTTTTGTTTTAAGTTACTAATGGTTTTTATTTTCTGTCGTACTGAAAATGTACAAAATTTAGTTTTGTTTTGCACACCTCAAAAGCTTGTAGTTAATTTATTAATATCAACTGTTAATCTTCAGTATAAAGCAGAAACAAACGATTTCTTTGTTTCATGGGTGAAATGGTTTTGTACTTTTTCACCCAAATGTAGTCCAAGGAGTTTTTAACTGGTTATGAAAGTCTCATTTTAATACTGATGCATCTATGTGACTGACATAAGCAAACAAGACCATCAGCTAGGGGATTGGAATTTTTAAAATAGTTATTCTTCATGCCTGGCACCGGGTCAGATTCAGTTAGATTTCCCCTTTATCAAATGAAACAAGTCATTAGAAAAAGTACAGCCATAATCAGCACAAAATTAAAAGTTTTTTTTAAAATTTTACTGACATGCCCATATCTGAATGCAAATTTGTAAGGATTATTGGTCACTATAGTCTTTTATCTTGTCCATACTGGGTTCAAAGAGATCATTTACTACAGCAATTTTGATGTAAGTGATAGGCAACAAAATCCACATTCCTAACTGAACCTAATAATAAGTTAGACAAATCAAGTGAGCACCTTTCAAAGTCACATTGTTTTTATTATAAATTTCCCTCTTTGTGCTTCTATAGGCAGTGTTTACCTGGCAGATGAATAAAAGCACAGAGGGAATTTGGTACTAAACAGACTGAAAATTTGGTAGCTCTCCACTTTTGTCCCCCATCACTTTCATTGATATCACTTTGGGAAGGGATCTCTCTGCGGCCAGTGAGAACAAGAGGAATAATAACAGCAACCAAAACCAATTTAAACATATGGGCAAGCAGTATTGGTTCAAGATAGACTTCAAAAATATGTCCCTATCCTTTTATTGTATATGTATTTCAGTTACTGCCCTCATGCATTGTTATGTGTATATTTTGACTTTTCCTCCTGTGCATGGTCATGAGATAGTGTTGCAATGTCGGCCTCCAGCCAAAGAAAAAAAGACGTCCTTCACTAATGTAAATGTCAAAATGTGTAGTCGTTCAGTGTCCTGCCTTGGGTGGAAATATGCAGATGGCATGCCAAGAGGATTGAATCACAATGTCCCTGTGGGGAGTATGTGGTTTACCACAGCTTGCTGGCTTTGCTTTTTTGTTGTGTGACATTTTTTTATTTTTTATCAGAGCTAGTCGTCTCTCTCTGAACTCAGAGAGCATAACTCACCTTATCACCCCTGTCTCTCTCTGTTCCTCTTTGTGTCCATCTGTTTCTTTGTCAGCCTTTGAACCGCTTTTGAGTGTCGTACACTGTGCTTTTAAAATCGAGGACTGAGGAACATTGAGAAGAATTTTGTTTCTGCTGCCCAGCCTCTTCTTTCTGAGTTTATGAATAGTCAAAAGCTTTGTGTTGTTGTTTTGCCTAATTTTATCATTTTAATCTATTTGTGTGTTGTTTTGATATAATCTGTTGTGCAGCTTTTTACAAGAGAAGCTTAGTTGTTCAGAGTATTTCTAACTGCTGTTGGCTGTCTGCCGTCTTGATTACTGTCACACATTGAGCTAAGATAAAGACAACTACAATTTAATTAGATGATAATAACTAGCTGACTTCAGTCAAGTGTTTTGTTTAGAGAATCAATGGTCTGAGTGATGCCTAGAATATGAATTCCGACCAACGAGCGGACCACATGGAGGATCTTCAGACTAGCATTCACGACTAAGATGGAAGCAGTGTATTTATACATATTTGGGTGGAAATATGGCCACTGTTTGGAATATACTGAATGTTTTGTTAAAAACAAGTGGATGAAGTGGAGGCAGGTTTGCTTTCTTTAGCCATGGTTAAGTTATCATCATATTGAAACTAGCCAGACCAATACTGTATCGATATTTGAGAGTAATAAGAACCTGACATTAAATTCTGGCTGGTCGCATTGCTTAAAAACCTAAGTAATACATTTTTCCAATCTTCTGATCTTACCATTTTATAATGGACTTTGTCTTACAACCGTTTTTTCCGCCTTGCACACAAATACCACGTTCTCATTCATTCAGAGAATTCAGAGAAGACATCATGATAACGTCAAAGAAGCACAAAGCAGTACAGCCTTGGATGTCTTGGGAGACCTTGAATTCATGAAAGTGTTTCCCTGCTGGGCTGTGAAAAGCCCAGGGACTTGTTCTGTTTTCCATGGTCTTCTCACAACTAAACTACAGACAATCAAAAGATTAGCACAGTTGACAGTTTCTCTTTAGATGTTTGCTTGAGCTTCAAGACACAATGCAACATGTGGAGCATTTAGTTCCTCCCTTTTGCCCATGTTACAGTTACTTTTATGAGAAGGTCAGGAGTGGGAATATAATAGAACAGTTTTAATGATAATAATGTTGAAATCACAAAATTTAGGATCTGAATTTTGCCAATGTTAACTACACATCCAACTAAGCCACAGATGGCACACCTGACTAAACAGAACACAAGCCAAGACATCCAGATTGACAAAACATCTACTCCCAATCTCCCAATTAATTCATGGTGCCTTTCTAAAAACTCTCTTTGTGCATCTTCAGAACCACTGTTTTCTTTCTTCCTCAAATACAAAACGACTTCCCAGTAAGCAGTCCAAGATGGCCTTTTCTCCTCTGTCTGAACAGCGTGTTCCTTTATAGAAAACAGACAGTAGTGAGAGGGCTGCCAGTGTAAAGTTCAAGCAGATCATAGGCAGTCGTATCCACAGCCTGAACATGCACATGTGGATGTGTTTTCGAAATATTTCCTTATTAATGGTAAATGCATTTTTACATACAATAACATACTGTTGTGGAGTCGTGTCTATTATGTCCAAATTCAAAGTCTATTTGTGTGAAAGTAGTGTTTAATAATAATAAGTCATACTAATGAGTTGAATTTTTATAAAAGTTATTAAATTGTTTTTTTATTTTTTGTTATTAGTTTATGTTTTTGATACATTAATTCAATTCAGTTTTATTTATATTGCACCAAGTCATAGCAGAGGTTATCCCAGGATACTTTTCATATAGAGCAGATCTAGACCATACTCTCTATAATTTTATAATATATTAATATGGTTATAGTCAATGTATAGTACATTATGCAATATAACACAATACCACCACAAACTGCAGTCTTCAAAATGAACATAATGTTGAATCTACCTCTTAGCTAGATTTACCTAATAAAGTGGAAACTGAGATCACTAAATTTATTCTTTTTGATTATTTCACTATGACCACCTTTTCTAATTTGGACCATTCTGGAGTTGCTTAACATACAGTGTGTGAACACAGACTATAGATTGCAATGCCATCAACAATGTGCCATACCACTTGTATTTTACTTCTTCACATTGCAGCTGATTTGACAATTCAACATATTCATGTCTATGTATTGTTTTGTTAGGTGGGTTTCTTTTACAAGCCCTTATTCCCTTTTGTTTTATTTTATCACATCTAACCACAAATGTTATACATTCACAGAGCCAACATTTAATCTACTACAAGATAAACCCTGTATATAGCCTTATTCTAGTCTTTCTCAATATAACCTCCCTTTTTAAAATTCTGAGTAATCCCTTGGCTTTGTCCGTTCAGTCTGCTGTTTGCTGATAAATTGGTCTTTCCAGCATTTTCTTAGTTTACCTCCTGTCTTTGATTGTTAACATAATCCCACATGTAGCTTTTCTTGTTACCTGCACTGCCCTTTGGTATGTCATCGTTATATAAAACATCATTAGATGACTGTTTTATTGACAGTTCACGTGAGCCAAAGGTGGTCCACATTAAGTGACATAATTCTGTATATAAATTCTGCCGGGCGTGCAGCTTGCAGAAAAAACTAGGCCTCGACCCTCTAGTGAAGCGTTGCCGTACCCACAGCTGCGACGTGCCACTCAGGCGGGCAGTGTGACTGCTGTAATCTGTTAATATGGGCGCCAAAATATACAGACATTCCGCCACGTGCACATGCTGCTCAGGAAAGGAGTGTGAACGAGCCATAAGAAGCTTTTCCATCAGCCAAAACTGTTAAATGTACTCCCCTTGTCTTTTTTTTGTGTGCTTTTCTGGACCAGGAGTGCACTTCCAAAAGTAGAAGCAGCTTATCATCCTTGCATGCAAACTCAAAAACATCAATGTCCAAACAGCCAGTCCCATCTCCAGCGTCTGACTCACCTTTCGCCAAGGGCAGCAGATGGAGAAAGCTCTTTGCTTCTGTCAGCCGTGGCAGAGGTGTGCTCTCAAACCTTTCTCTGTTAATAAACTTGCCCTTTTCTAGGTAATGACCTGTCTCTCATTGTCTGCATGAGCGCTTGGTGATCCCTTAACCTTTCATCAGAAAGTAATGCTTGCGCTCCTCCTCTTCGCACTGCCCCATCTATCACTCCATCTCATGACCATCCTCCCTCAACCTCCTTGGCCTTTTGTCTGTCCCAGCCTTTATTGTTTAATGCTGTCTGGCACTGAAGTCTTGAAAGTGTTTCAAGCCTGGTCATGTGAAAACGTTGGCTGCGCTGAATTCAGTGTGTTCGAAGTGTCCACTGAGACATTGTTGGATTTATTGAAGTAAGGTGTGACGAAGTTTGACTGGGAGAAAATGTCGTGGTTGATTGAAACAAAGTCTTTGTCTCCAGGTGCCCGCGCCCTGTGTCTCACTTGGTGGCAGGGACTTCAGAATGAACTGTTCCACACCCTGTGAATGCATGTTCGTGATCGTCTCAAATGAAACATAATTACGTTACTGTTTCAAAAGGGGTAAATGGCAAAAAAAGAACTGTTGACAGGAGGCCTTGCTTATACACGAACCATGTAGCCTAATATAATCCCAAACATCAAACAGCAAACCAGTGAATGGCAGAAACCCTGTATTTCACACAATTATGAGAAACACACTTGATTAAAAATCTGCTAAAAATGCATTCTAGTTAATTAAAAAAATCCTTAAACTGGAGTACATGCAATCTTACATAATTTTGACGGAGTATTAAAAATATTAGTTATTAGTTCTCTACTAATTTTCTCAAATGTTCATATTTTAGTCTTCTATATTGAAAATATGTAAATCTGCATTGAAAACGAAAAGGAACTAATTTCATGTCTATTTTCCTCAAAAGATATTTGATGAATATGTGAAATGAATCCTTTGTTGCCAATGCAGATAAAGTGTATTTACCAATTGTTTCAATGCAAGTTAAATTATTTTCATATTTCTCCTAATCCTTTGATTTTTTTCTCGGAAACTATTTTTTCTTGATGAACTATACAAGGACTGGTCAATTAACATTATATTAATCACAGTTTTTTTTTTTTTTAGACAATTTATTAAAAGTTTATCGAGCACCATTTCCAAACATTTTCTGGTTCCAGCTTCTCAGTTGCGAAGAATTCCTGCTTTTCTGTTTTTACATAACTGAACATTTTGTCTTTTTGGGTTTGTGTGGGTCATGTAAATTATACCACATGGGGTTTTGGGGGCAATTGACATGAACATTTTTCACTATTTTCTGACATTTTATAGACCAAGTATTCACATCAGAAAAAATGGTTGACAGATTTATAAATAATGAAAAAATCCTTAGTTGCAGCCTGAATTGGTGTAAAATGTTTCATTTTGTGCATTTTTTAAAATTGCAAACTAAAATGAGGAAATGTGTCAAATAAGGAAACTATTTTATTTAATTAATTTTTAATTTTTATTATAAGTGGTTATGTCATCTCATAGCACCAGATTTTCTTTCCACTAATCTCCTCCCTGTCACTCTTGTCTTTTCCCTCTCATCTACTTCATGCTCTGATTCCTGCTGTTATTCCTTGCGGGGTTATACTTGACATCATCAATATCTTAGGAGTCTCTGATAACCAATGTGTCGTCATGTTTATTTGATGACGAGATGGCAGGAGTAACGTATACTAAATCATGGATTCTTTAGGATCTTTAATGCAAAAACCACAAGACTTATCTCTTAAGAAATCCCCAAATGACATTCGGATTTTCATCTTTGAATTCCAAGAAAACATGATGATATTATCTTCAAAGGAAAGCCTGCAGTTTGGTTTATCTGAGGTGAGGAAGCTAAAACATTTTGATTGGTGCTTGAAGTCTGTGAAAAAATATCAGATCATGTCAAATTCATACAATTAATACAACATAAAACTTTTATTTATAGAAATTTAAATTAAAAGCAGTTGAAGTTATGTTAAATGATGCTCTGAGGAAATGAAAATAACAGATTCAATGATGTAAAAAGAAAAAAAAAAGGAATATTGTTTATCAAGCAACACAAGACATAACAAAAGCTACCACGAGAGAGGTAGATCTAGAAGAATCTATCTGAAAGATGATCCAACAACAAAGAGGACTGATGTCACTATTAAGCCAAAGCCTAATAAAAAAATTCTGAAATTAGAACAATAAAATAAAATCATAATTAACTTAACAGTTTAGCAAAAGCCCTTTATATTAAAATAAGTTCAAGAATTTTAAAGCCAGCATTGAGTTACACTATATGATTATTTTAAGCCACAGCCACACTTGCCTCTCTGTTGTTTTAAAATGGTAAGATATTGTGTTGATTATTATACCTTGCTCATTTTGTTTCTCAAAAGCTTAATTGCATCTTGTTTTCAGAGGGTCATGCTTTTTTCAGTAGAGCTAATTTATTTCAAATCCCCTGCACGCATATTTGTGGTGAGCTCACAGTTACTAAGAGGTTCATAGAAAACACGTTAGTTAGATTTCCTTTTCCCACTACAACCTTCGTCTAATATAATCTGAAATGAGGCACAAACCACTTTGTAAATCCTTCCCTAAACGTGTTTTTTTTTTTTTCTTTTTTTTTTCTTCCATTGATTCATCCCAGTTGGTGTCACAGATCAGTTTGTCTTCTGTTGTCAACATGCAACACCATCAACAGGACCGATGCTTGTTAAGTGGTTGCTTGATTTCAATTTTATAGCAGCCCCATCAGTTTGTCCATATTAAATTCTAGCTTTGAGACATAAACTCGCATGACGTTGTGGAGGGAGGGTGTATTTGTGCGTTTCGAGGGTGAAAGTGTGACTCTCAGAGCCCGTGGCAGGCACGGAGATGGAGGAAAAAGAGAGAGTTTAATGGCTCTGTACAAGCCGTGAGCTGTAGAGCTAGACCTGTGGTGATTGGTTTGGACTATATTTCCAACAGCCCGTCACTTGCTAAAATAAACCAACAGTACTACCGTGGCAGAGGGGAAATTGCCCTGAAATGTCACTATTTGCTGTCAGTGGAGCACTCTGAACCAGTAGCACATGCTATGTATAGCTGTGCTATCCAGGATTTTATTAAATAACATGCTGCCATCAATCTAACACAAGTGTGTAACTTTTCTGTTTGCCTTTTCCCACTCTCTCCAGTGGCTCTGCAGCTTCCAGAAGGCCTGCAGATGTTTGCCTGTGTCATCGCTGACATCATTGAGAGGTAAGGCAGAGAAAGAAAGGTGTTTCTTCTATTTAATAAGTTATTTGAGAGTCTAGGAGTAAGCAGCTGGTGTAGAAGGCGAGCCAGCGGCGTACGAACTTTTAACTGCCGCATCCACTTGCTACTCATTAAGAGAGCGAAAGCTTTATCGCAATTCCCCGCCTTCGACTCAGTCAGGGATTCAGCAGAAAATGAGACACGATTACGGTGTTTTAGGACAGAGCTGATATCACAGCTTCCCTTGCTCACAGTTGGAGGAGGGAAGAGATATTATTCTTGTTAATTACATCTTGTTTCAGTTTGCATATGCCCTATTGCACACCAGCACTCTATTATACAGACAAGGTTTTTTTTCCTCCATCCTACAGTGAGAAGTACTGGAGCATTAATGTTCTTCAGACCTAATAGTTTGTCTTTTATACTACACTGTTGTTTAGCCTTCAGTATACTAAATAAAATGTGTACTTCAATGCTTAGTAAATAGAAACACACATGCTGAAAAAAATGTGAGGGCCACACGAAGCACAAGCACGAGCAAAATCAGCTCTGTTTACAATTTTTCTCCCTGGTTGTTGTCTCTGCGGTTTCACCTTCAGTTAGCCTCTGTATATCAGGAGCACTGTCTGCCAAGTGTTTTCCCAAAGAAAAAACGTGCTATCATTAAACACCCAGAGTGGATTCTTTTCAAACGTGTTTAGTCAATACTAACCTGATTACGAGATGGCCACGATAAAGAATAGAGTGGCTGGAGTTGCCATGAGCTTCTCAAGCTGGGCAATATTTCATTTCACACAGGAAACTCGGATCACGTCAGTTTGACCGTATTATTGTGCTCTTTACGTACCAAGACACATTTATTTACCATATAAATAATAAAACTTTAGTCTTGCTTATAAATGCGTTAAGCAGGACTTTGTCTTTCTCCCTTGCCTCAACAGTTTTTTCTATCTTCTCTTTTTACTCCATTATTTTGTTCATCTTTTTCTTCAGCTGCTATCACTCTATCTTTCTATCACTCTCTTTACTGTAATTTCTTTCTTTTTTTATCGCTACAAAGATGACAAAGTGAAGTTTTGATGATACGGTCTGGTCTTATCAGTCCTGCAGCTATCAGACTGAGAGCTACCACCATTTGCTGCATGGCTTTTAAACCACACGCCTGTGCAATCCACATTTATATGTTTGTATTGTCACTGTCCATCACAGAGTCTGCGAAATCATCCCCATCTTTTCTAATGAGAGCAATTAGCAGACACTAATTGCTTTTCTCACTGTCTTTATACTTTGTCCTCTATCGCTTGTCTCTGTATTTTTCACACTCTCTTCACCATCCACATGATTTCTCCCTCAGACTGCGGCAGAGAAGATGGTTCTCACGGTTTCCCTTCATTAGGTCCTGCTATATAGTTTCCCTGAAGCTATTTTACCACTGTCTGTGCTGTCTTACTATGTAAGAATTTTCTTTGCAGTAGTAGTCTTTCCAGATTTAACAGATGGGTTCTTTGAATCCTGGATAAACATCAGAGCCTCTGAGAAGTACTGAATATCTTCCATCTTGTGCACAGACTGACAGCCTGAGTGTATCATTTGGATATCAGCTAAATTCGGGCACTACTGTCTCCAAATAAAATAACAAAGTTCTTGACAAACTCCGTGATGGTCATCCAGGATCATACAACTGCAGTTTTGCCCTTTAAAGTACATTTCCAATTCATTACAATTTCTTTGTGCAGTTTTCCTATTTTCCTATAGGTTATAACATTTTGCTGACAAACATAATTACATCGTAGATCATGGCACATGACCATAAAGCTACAACAAAGTCTGACAAAACAATAAAAGAGTGGTCAGCCAATTAGACGTACTGTAAACAAGATGAAATTTTAGATGAATTTTTTAAACTACTTTATTTGGAGGGTACACTGAAAGTGAGCCCACCTGAAATGTTGGCGATAATCCCCAATCGCAGAGGAAAACGATCTATGGTCAAGTTTGGTCCTGATCTTGATCTGAGTCCTTTAATATTGGGTAGCTCTGATATTGTGGTGGCAGAAGAAATCTGCAGCAGATGGAAGATCTTCAGAAAATAGACTTTTATTGAATGTAATAAAAGCCTGAGTAAATTCTGCAGAAATACTTACTGACTACGTAAGTCAGAACACAAAAATGTCATCAGTCTCTCCCAAGTTAAGATCCCACATTCATATCTAGAACATTCCCTTCTTTCTGGAACATAACAAGAAATTCCACTTGGTTTTCACCAAATATATGTCCCTGGCCCAAGACCAGTTCTTGATAAGTTTACCCTAAGAGACAGACTAGGCACCAAGTTGAACCAAAGTTAAAATCTTACATAACCACAATGGATTACACAAGTCCAATCAAATATTTATATTTAGTAGCCTTATACATTTAGCACACACTATTTTTCACAAACCATATGATACAGTTACTGAAGGCCCTGATTTTAAAACTACCTAGTTGACCAGATTTAATTATTGATATGCTATTAAGGAATGTTTAACCCAGAAGAATTGCATTTTTGAAGCTTGTGAGAAGACATGTCACTCTGTTGGAGTTGGGACTACGGCTTTTAGAGAGCATACAAACACATAACAGCCTGTGTGTGTCTGTATGTTTCATTATGGTTTGCCATCAGGTTTCTTAGCTGATATGACCTACTGTAACCAGTGAAAGCAATGGCCACTGACAGCCTAAAATGAAAGGCTGCTACCTTTTTGTTTTGTACATTGATCTTTGCTATAAGAAAGTCAAGTGAGTTAATAGATATGCTACAACCAGAGTTTTGACCTAGCCTCTGGCTCAAAACAGAGTCAGTCATCAGTGCGATCAAATCATTTTTCACGTTCACATGTGAAAGAAGAAATCCTTTGACCTAATACTGGCTTATCTTCTTAGACATGGTTTGCTCGTGTGATGGCCACAAGAATGGCAGTTTAAGTCGACAGCCTCATCACAACTAAGGGCCTACTGGAGCAAACATTGAATCTAAGGTCAACACCATCTGGTGTCTTCTTACCGTATAATCTCTGATCCTGATGTGTGGACGAAATTACAACATTTATAAGGAGGAACTAAAGGAACTCAAGGTCTTGGTTCAAGTCTGTTACCACTTCATACTGTACCCGGATAGATAGTGCCATGAAAGCCACAATAGTTTAGATAACAATCTCAACACAAGAGCTCAGAATTTGGCTGATCCCTTCAAAGGCTTAACCCGCAGGTGAAAACTCTGTTTCTTCCCCAGATAAAACTGCTTGTTAGGGAGAAACCAGGATTTTCTGCTGAGAAGCCAGTCAACAGTTTTATCCACCAAATGAACTGATGAAATGAAATGATGAAATAAGTCATAACTAAATATGTAAACCAGACTTTGCAGCAACTACCAGTTCAGAGGACTTTACTGTAGCAACAGCAAAGCTAGCTGTTGCATTGATGAAAGTGTAGCAAATGGGCATACCCATCCTAATGTGGATGTGGATCTAGCATAGGACTGGAGGGTTGGAGAGAGTGAATGACAGTAACCTTTGGATGTTGGCTCAGCAGACTGGTGACCTTGTGTTACACAGCTTATGTCGAGGGTTACCAGAGGTCCCAGGAGTTAGGCGGCTCTGCCACCACCATCACTGCCACAGTTCCTCGTACTCGGGAGACAGGGCTGAGGTCCATATCAAAATGGGGATGAAAGGGCTAAGCTGGCCTCAGAGTAAGGAGCTTCAGTGGGAGGGACTGCTAAGTCTTAATGAGGACAAGCTGCTCTGAATTATGGCCATGCTGCAGTTAATACACTCAGGCCAAAACACATACCCTTTACATATACACACTTTTACACTCACAGTGTACCATGCCTAATGTCATAGGCACTACATTTCTCTTCCAAGCATTATCTCTCTATGTTTGTTATGTTTCTTTGTCCATATATTTATATCCTAAGCACCCAGAGAGAAGACATGATTGTGCACTTATTTGTGCATTTACATTGAAACAGCAACACAAACTACAGCCTTCAAAGTGAACTTTGAGTAGGATCAACACATTTCTGACTTCAAAGAGCTTTACGACTTAAAATAAAAATGCATAAAGAAGAGTCAACAAAATAAATAAATTAGGCAAAGTAAAGGAGAAGGAAGGAAAGAAGGTTCACTCGGGTTGTTATGGTTCTTATGTTGTAACAATACAGCATTTACATTTTTCTTGTATATTACCATTATTATGGGCAGCATGATGAATTGTATCATGATTTGTTAGTTGTGAGATTATTTAAATGTATAGAAATGCAGAAAATGGCAGGAAATAAATGAATTAACTTTATTTATTTTTTTTAATAAAAAAGAAAATATTTAAACTTAAAAAAAATTAGCCAAATTAGCTCTGGTTCTTGAACTGGTTCTGTTCAGGATTAAGCAAAAGTCAACAATAAATAATCTCATTAGGAATAAACCTGTGTGAACTGTCCATGCCTAAAATGGGTCAGCCTATACTGTATTTTAACATCGGTCATAATGGTGGTATTTGGAGATTTGGAGAGCCTAATAGTATGTACGTAGTATGCGGTCTAAAGAGTTTGAGAAACGCTGCCTTAAAACATGCAGGCATACAATGTAAATACGCCAAAATGATAAAAGATGCATCGTAAAGGTAGGGCTTGGTCCAAGGCTTTTCTACTGAATTGCGTTATATTTAGGTAGATGTACCTTCTAGACTGGCAAATTGGTATAACTCCATAATGTTCCTGTATTTTAAGATTTTATCACTAATCTAGATATTTTCACCCATAATAATCCAGATCATATATTCGTTTTCAATTTGTGCTATGCAGGCTACCGAAACCTGAGCACAGAGAGCCCACTTGATACTTTCAAGTAGATGGGTGTCCGCAATCTAAATAACCATGTCACCATGTAAAGCAGCAGTCCATTTATTACAGGGCCATCCTCCTTTATCTGATTCTCTCTGTGCCATTTTATTTCATTCTTTAC